AATAATAATAAATAATAATAATAATAATAATAATAAATAAATAATAATAATAATAATAATAATAATAATAATAATAATAATAATAATAATAATAATAATAATAACAATAATAATGATAATAATAATAATAGTAATAATAATCATAATAATAATAATGATAATAATAATATTGATCATAAAGTAACAATAATAACAATAAAAATAATGATAACAATGATAACAATATTATACAAGAAAAAAAATTTCAACGAAAACAATAAAACAAATATAATCATTTGATAGTGATAGCATAACATGATAACAGTTGTAATAACAATGATGACCAATGATAATGTTAAGGATGAACTATTAATAATGATAGATAAAATAAATATAGATTAATAATAATAAATACTACTAAATTAATAATAATATATAATATAATGATATAATAATAATAATAAAATGATGATTAATGCTAATAACAATAATAATAACAACAATAATGATAATGATAATATTATAACAAAAAAACATCACCAATAAAGTTTTACAATGCCTATGTTTTTTTTCCTTTTAGTTCTCTCAATGAACAACTCTTCGGCGATGCAATGAAGAAGAAGAAGAAGAAGAAGAAGAGGAGGAGGAGGAGGGGGAGGGGAGGAGGAGAAGCGAGGAGGAGAAGAGAGGAGGAGGAGAGGGAGTGAAGAAGAGAGAAGAGAAGGAGTAGGGGGAGAAGAAGAAGAAGAGAGGAGGAGGGGAGGGAAGAGGAGAAGATGGAGGAGGGGGGAGGAAGAGAGGAGAAGAGGGGGAAGAAGGAGGAAGAGGAGAGGAGTAGGAGGAGGAGGAGGAGTAAGAGTAGGAGGGGAATAGAGAAGAGGAGGAGAGTAAGAGTAAGAGAAGGAAGCGAGAGGAAAGAGAGAAGAAAAGAGGAGGAGGAGAAGCAAAAGGAGCAAAACCGACACCTTTTGGCCCAAGCAACCCCGTGCCTTCAATCGCACACTTTGCAACCTTCAGAACGATCTTGTGCAGACTTTGCAACCTAGATTGGGTTTGCTTGAGTTCTGTTTTATTGTCATTATTATTATTATTATCATCATTATTATTATTATTTATTATTTATTATATGTTATCATCATTATTATTATTATGCTGTGTTGTATTATTATTATTATTATTATTACTATTATTTCATCCATTATTATTATTTATTGTTTTATTATTTATTATTATCATTATATTATATTATTATTATTATTATTATTCAGTAATTATTATGTTTCTTCATCTGCTTTTTACGTTATCTCTTTTTCGTATTGTTGTTTCGGTATGATGATAATAACAAACAAACGAAAACATATCGATGATAATATTTATTATTTTATTAATGTATTTATTATTATATCATTATTATTATATTATATCTTTATTTTTATTTTATTTCAATTTTAAATTCATTTTATAATCTTCTTCTATCTCCCCAATTATCTTATTATCATTATTATCATTCCGATATATCATTATCATTATTATTATATATTATCATTATTATTATGTCAATTATCATCTATTATTTGTTATTATTTTTTTACATTATTATACCACTTCTACATCTTCTTATTATTCATTATTATTATCACTATCCTTATAATCATTTATTCATTATCAATATCATTTCACTCTTAGTTAGCATATTATTTATATCACTGTATTATTATTTACTGATTCATACTATATTAATTCTATTATACTACGAAAAATCTAACACTTTCTATTATTTGTATCTATTATCATCATTATCGATTATCATCATCATCAATATCATCATTATCATCCTCTTTATCATTTGTTATATCATCATTATCATCTTATCAATTATCAGTATCATAATTATTCCTCATATCATCGTGATTTAATTACCATCATACCATTACTCATCATCATCTAATCACCATCCATACTAATCATTATTTTATATGTTGTTATAATGTCGTTTCCTGAAAGTATTCTAAAACGCAAATAAATGAGATAATAACATAATAAATTGAATATATAGATAATAATAATAGATAATAATATAGATATAATCTAGATATCACTATAATAGTACTGCATAATAAAGTATTAAACTATTAAATAATAAATAGATAGATATAATAATAGATATAATTAACAAGATAAATGATAATAGATCACTAAATTAGATAATAATTAGTAGATAATAACTTAGCTAGAAATAATAGTACGATATGTATAATAGATAGATAATAATAGTAATATTAATAATAATATGATA